CGATTTCTGCCCTAGTTTGTTTTCATCTCTTAAGGAAATACTGTAGAGGAAATGTATTGCACAAGGCAGTGTTTTGTGTATGTGATTGCACTTTTAGACATAATCTCCACCTCTGACATACTTAAAGGATTAGTTCACAAAAAAATGAAATTTACTCACACTCATGTCCAAATCCAAATGACTTCCATAGAAATAAAGCACAGAGACCAAAAAGCGCCATAAAAGTAGTACTCCATACGACAAATAAAAGCCCTGCTTCAAAATTTCTTCCTTTGTGTTCCACAGAAGAAAAGTCATACTGGTTTGGAACAAGAGTTTCATTCATTGGTGAAATTCTCCTTTAGGTCAAAGATAAAAATTCAAGCTGCTTGTTAACAAAAGAAAGAATTTTTAATCAAGAAAGCCTCATTATTAAGCTTTGCCTGGATACAGACTACATTCCTCCCTGGTTAACCACAAGTCCTCGCGCAGCCCAACCATGCGAGTGACGTGGTAATGAGAGATGGTTCATGGAGAACAACATCTCAGATGAACTCGATAACTGTCCAATTCACTCCAAACATAGTGATTTCCAAGTCAGGTCCATGTGGAGAATGCCTGTAAGAAAAAAGCAACCACCAGGGAGTCTTTAAACCAGCCGCTGACAGTTTCATGTGCTTTTAAACAAACTCCCCATCTATTACTGCAAGAACAGAGATATGGAGGAGGAACCAAACCAGATGTTCCTCAAGAGCAACAAAGAGTAAAAATGTCTGAGGAAGAGGATGTGGAATTGAGCAATGAAGAGCCATTCAAGGTCCATTGCTAAACTTGTACATGCCAATCAAATGGCATTGCTATGTGGTTGCTAATGTTTTCAGGGTAGTTTGCTTATTGGACTCACTCCCATGTCTATATGATATTCTGGTTAGGGATGCACTGATATTGAAAGACGTAAACAGAACAGAAACAGAGGTCGCGAAGCGAAAGATCTTTTCTTCCCTACTGTGATGTGCATCCGAGTCGCAACGGATTACCAAAAAAGTTGTTGATTGGCTGATGTGAACATTGCACTCAAAAATGAATACCAGATTCCAGTCAATTGTGGAGGGACGGGGTTAAAGCAAACAAAACCATTGGAGAGGTCCGGCATCCGTCACCAGAGAGAAGGCTGTCGTTTCACCAGAAGATCGAACATTACGAGGTCAAAAAATAAATAAATTAAACACAGGCTATACACATGGATGAATCAGTCACAATAAGATCAATATCATGCATTTGCAAAATACTTTAAAGTTGTGATAACTTTAATATTAAAATTCTATACTATTTTGTCTAATTCAATTAAAAAATAAAACACTAAAAAATAAAAATCAATTGTTTTAAATGCTACAAATGAATTCAGGCATCACAACATTATAAATGTATGTACAGCATGAATATTTATTTTAAGATTTTATAAAAAATTACATTTAACAGTGCTATTCAGTTATTAGTGATTTTAAAGGCCAACTTTAAGTTTGATTCTTGATTCTTAAAAGTTTGATTGGAAAAATCAAACTTAAAGTTAGCCTTTAAAATGTATACATTTATAATGTTATGATGCCTGAATTCATTTGTAGTATTTAAAACTATTGATTTTTAGTTTTTAGTGTTTTTTTTGTTTTTTGTTTTAATTTTTTAATTTGTTTTAATTTATTTTTTATTGAATTAGACAAAATAGTATAGAATTTTAATATTAAAGTTATGGTCTAAATCTAAAAGTTAGCACAAACTAATAGAACCAATTCGTCCGACAACCGATACAGTATGGATTGTGTATGACTAATTCTGGTATCCAGATATGGATCATATCTTTACTTCAGTGTACATTTTTCATCTCTATTATAGTCTGCCAGGAAAAATTCATCCGATCACTTGAAAGTAATTCCACAAATTGTGAGAAACAAGTTATGAGCCAAAGTTTATTACTCAGCGTTAGGAATTTGTTCATATCTCTTGTTTCACTTTAAAGTAAAAGTATAAATCCTTAAGTATAAGCGCAACAGTGATAGACTGAAAAAAAAGTTGCTGCCTTAAATTACAATTACCTTAAATCATTTCAACTTAAATTACATTAAACTGACTTTAAAAAGTGGAATTTTGTGTTACTTATAAAAAGTAAAAAATTGCTTAACTTATTTTAATGGGTTAAAGAAATGTAAAAACATATGCTGTCATAACTTATTGATCATATAAAAAGAAAAGCGTCAATCCAGTCATCCAGTAAATGACTAATATTCGCAGTTAGTCAAACAGAGTTTGGTGATATCGTTCCACTGAGAACAGTACGAGTGGGAACAGTAGTAAGTAACCGACTCGTTCTGTAAACTCTGTGACATCAAGATAATAAGATCTCATAGGAAGACAGAAAGCAGAACTACATCAAGGCTCAGGAATGTTTTCCCCCCGAGGTGCCTAAAATGAAAAGAAGACGGATCCTGTCAAGCTCAGAAGCTCTGACAGTGGCCTAGTGTGTGTGACGTGTGGACCGAGGTGCATTACACATCTGTCTTCAGGAGGGCAGGTGTCAACGGCTTTTTAATGCTCCTGTCAGAGAGGATTGTGGGAAGAATGGACGGCACCTCGACTGAGCATTACGCGAGCAGTGCCGTGTAGAAAACAAGAAGTGTCTACTTCACAGCGTCAACAGCGATTACATTTGAATAACGTGCAATCAGTCACCTGCAGCTGTTTACCGGTGTAGGCGTACAACGCCCATTTGCATTGTCGTGGGATCGGTTCAGTTGTCGAGACTGGGATTGCGGATGGGGGAGGTCGAGTGAAACAATGCAAAACGCAGCTGCAAGACTTTCCGTATGGAAATTAGGACACCAGCCACTCATAGCAGAATGATGATGGCTGACTTTGAAGTCAATATAACATTTCACTCACTGACATACAACTTCTATGAACACTTAAGCTAGGATAGAGTATCCGATGAACCGGAGCGGGCTGCAATAAAGATTAAGCGACAATTACAGTATAATAGCTTCTTGAGGAGAGACGAACATCTCTCTCTTTGACAGGAACATGGGTTGATCTAACTAATGACTAACCACTGAAAGCTCCTGCCAACTCTATCTAGAGTGTAAACAGATCAATTTAGCGCCGAGGTGCTTACCGTAGAGTCCTTGCAATGAACTTTCACATACTAAATATTGTTCAAAAGCATGTAAACATAATACCCTCTGTGTCGACACAGTCGGATATTTATAGACACTTCATCCTGGAGGTCCTCTTTCCATTTTTCAGTTGTTATGAGTCCAACTAGCCTGCAAAAGCTCTGTAAGTTTGTAGGTATTTTTTTCCCTAATTCTCTTAAACTGTAGTGACAGAGCTTTTCTTCAACTTTACATTTGAGTAAAACAGATTATCGACAGAATAGGGCAGGACTTGGGTTTTATGCATCAGTTGTTGATTGGATGGAGGCAGATCTGAATGCAAGCTTAGCATTTGTGGAGGGGCGGGGTCTAAGCAGACTAAATGATTGGAGAAGCCCCGCATACATCACCAGAAAGACGTCCGTCCTTTCATTGGAAGTTGTGATATTGATTAAAAATTCTGAGGTAGGGCGGAAGTGCGATTGATTTTTCGATTTTGGCTTCCAAAGATTATGAAAACTAGACAATAGACGTAAAACGGGTATTGTGCCACTCCCGCATTCCATCCAGCACACCTTCCTTTCCCTCATAGCATTGCGCTTTCGTTAGTAAGCCAAACTTAACATCCAAAGTAGCCGAATCAGTGAGTGTTGTAAAATGCAGTCTACTGTTGCTAAACTGCAGGACGTGCCTGGTATTAAACAGTGTCATTGAAAGCGCGCGAAAGAGATAGAGATACTGTTCCCTAGGCGGCTCTCTGTGTGTGTGCACTCCGAGACGGAGCCGAACCATAGACTGTAAAAACCAAAAAGCTGAACGCGCTTAAGCAAAGTATATTACTGTGGGCTTCAGATACTCGCCTAAATGGTCAAATAGTGCAACACAAGCATGTTGAAATGCCGTTTTGGTAAGTTTTCTCATAAACACAGTCGGTTATGTCTTAAGTGAGAAAGAAAACGCGTGTGTAACAGTATATATTGGATCCGTGTGTAGCTCTAAAAGTGACAGCAGCCTAATAATCCTGCAACAGTCATTACCGTTAATCAAACAATAAAAGACAAAGATAAAATCACTCACTGCTCTTGAATGAATAAACTGTAGTTTTAATAATGATTAGTCTATATTTAATGTATACATGTATAGAAAAACAAAATGGCTTCTGCATTTAATTCATGTCATATGAAAAACATGGTTATACGGTAACGGTATACGGTAATATGGTAACACTGATTGTAATAGTGGTGACAATTCAACAGATGTAGTTGAAAATCAGGTTGATTACTACTAGTTTGAATACTAGATTTTTCTGTTATATATTCATACTTATATATATATAATGTTTATTATACTGTACTTTCGATATTACATGTTTCGCATCTGACAGCGTTGATGCATTGAATGATCAGCATTGAAACACACATTTTGGCAGAAAAAGAAACCCTCTTTTAACAGATTTATCCAAAACAATTCATTGGTTCATGAACTTTTGCAGTGCTGTATCCTGTGTCATCATCCCAGTAGGCCTACTCATAAATTTGTGACACACAGTATGAGAAAAGTTCAATTGCGATGACTGAAGCTGCATTAGTGCAAGAGCAGAAGCACTCAATTGGTCATTAAAAGTGTCTTTTACCACTCTGGGCTATTTTATGAAGGGTCCAACTACTTAAACATGTTCAAGCTTAACTCAGATCAAGACAGGAGTTCAAGGCAAGCACACACAATGTTTAAATAATGTACTCTATGTGTATCCAGTGCAACACCAGCATAACAACAACAAAGCAAAAGGCAGGCGTGTGTTATTAACTAAACAGCTCACATTGGCTATGGTGAACATCGGTGTGAAATGCACAATTTCTTTTCAGAAAACAAACTTACCAACTGAAACGTGCAGAGAAATATCAGGGTGCACCGTCCGCTGCAGCAGCCCATTGTGTAGTTAAAGCGAGATAATGGGATCCTGAATATATGAGTCTATGAGCAGAAAGTCCTAAACAAACACAGAGAAGCGCGTCTGTCTCTGTCCGACACAAAGCGGCTCCGTTCCCATTGTTTCCTGCGGCGCTCAGTGAAACGCGCGTGGAGGTGTGAAAGCGCTTCGCGTCGCGGGAGGAGTGTGTGTGACTCGGGTGTGAGTGAGTGAAGTGCGAAGAAAGAGGCAGAAGAAGAACAAGGGGTAGACGGGGTAAGAGGGGCGGGGGAGCAGGCAGAGGGGGTATGTAAATCACAATGGCTTGCTCTCTCTCTCTCTCTCTCTCTCTCTCTCTCTCTCTCTCTCTCTCTCTCTCTCTCTCTCTCTCTCTCTCTCTCTCTCTCTCTCTCTCTCTCTCTCTCTCTCTCTCTCTCTCTCTCTCTCTCTCTCTCTCTCTCTCTCTCTCTCTCTCTCTCACACACACACAGGCTGTGTGTGAATAAACCACAGCCTGTGAGTGCTGTAGTTTTGAAACCTAAAAATGTATAGGAACCATAGAAAACCTTAAACGAAACAAGAGCTGGTTGCCCAGCTGATATCCCTGCCTGATCAGCTCAAAAGTGCCCAAAACCCCTCTGAAACCAACATACCAGGCTGAGAGACAGCCTAAGACCAGCAAACAAGCTTAACCCTCAATAACCATATCTGGAGACCACGTCCTTGCTAAAAAAGAGTTTTTTTTGTTTGTTTTTTTGAAAATGTAAAAATGCAGAAAGTTGTCTGTGATATGGGTAGGGTTAGTGTAAGGGTATAGTCAGAATATACCGTTTGTACAGTATAAAAACCATTATGTCTATGTGCCATAAAACATGAAAACAACCGCGCGCACGCGTATGTTCACGTAGCGGTAGCAAGTGCCACAATAAAAGTCACAACGTGTCATAGACATAATACCATTCCCATGAAGATAAAAAAAAAAAAAAAAAAAAAAAAAAAACTTTTTCAGACTAAAGTGAGGAAGAGCACCAGAGATTAACCAGCTGTCCCCATTGATACCAGCAAAGACCAGCAAACCAGTTTAAACACGTGTATGTTTTTCAGCATTGATAGCATAGCAATAATTGTTATTTGCGATTCAGAAAATATACAAATCTAACAAACAAGCAATCCAGCATTAGCATATTAATTTGGTTTATACAACATATTTTTTATATTCGTATTCTGAGATAAAGATGTATTTTATGTGATCATCTTTTATCATTATGTATTTGTTTATTTCATTATCTGACAGTGATGACGAACACTAGGCCTATATGTTTTTCGTGAAAATGTGCCATAATTATTTTTCTTTCTTTCTTTCTTTCTTTCTTTCTTTCTTTCTTTCTTTCTTTCTTTCTTTCTTTCTTTCTTTCTTTCTTTCTTTCTTTAACGTGTGGAGTTTAAAAAAAAAAAAGCATTGGCTGAGATACACATGTCAGATCTGTACTGTCACAAACTTTAGACAGTATCTGCAGTTGTATCTGTTTAAAGTCTGATTTTTAGATGGAAGGAACTAACCCAGACAGCAACATAGTGTCGGCCCAGACCTGGCCCAAATCCGGTACGAGTTAACCCCACAAGTACCAGATGTGGCCCGGATCTGGGCAGACACTATGTTGCTGTCTGGGAATGTTCGCCTCTTTGAAGTCTATTACCAAATCCAAGGCGCCATCTGCCGGTGGCCTATCAAAACTGCATCCTATAATATATATTTTTTTAAATGTAAGTTGATGGTGTTATGTATCCCTTAATTGTTCACATTAAAATATGCAACACAATTATCATCATTCAACACTGTAACAATTTGTCAGTATACTGTTTTTAACTTTCCCCCTTACATTTAATAGGCTACTGTATAAAAATGTGCCAGACCGCAAATAAGTGAGGAAATGCAGTCAGTGCTGAGCGCAAAGCAGGATTTATTCTTTGCTGCTTTGACTGCTGTTGTAGATATGCACTTACAATTTTGCTGTATTGATAAGTCTGCCTAATACATTCCCCTTTCATTTCAGTTTCCCCTGCTCTACATATTCAGATCCATATTGACATATTAAACAAGTACTTTGCCAAACCACTGTAAATATCACACACGCAATGAAGGTATCCTATTAATGATGAAGTTAGTGTTATTAATATCACTTGTTCTGTGCTAACCCTTGTTTCAGCTGTGGCTCGGTCTGTGCTGATCCATTATAGAGAAGCCTTTAAAAGCGGCTCCTGTGTGAGCGTGAAGCAGAGTGATGAATCTTTTACAGGTTCAGCCTGTATTGCCGTGGAACACTTCACTTCTCATTACATCACTGTAGCCTCTGCTTCCCCTCTTAAAAGCTTTCCTCCTCCCTGACACACACACGCACACACACGCACGCACGCGCACACACGCTCAAACACAAACTGCTATTAATAGTGTTGTGATATTTTTGGATGAGAGAACTGCAGAGACTGTTCTTTGAAGAATATTTAATTATTTAAATCACAAAGATTATTTTATAATATTAGCAATTTTATGAGACATTTGTGCACTTTATATCATTTTTACTTTTTTCCATTTTTTATTTGTTCACTTGTTTTGTTTTAAGAACATTGTTATTTTGTAAATATTTAATTATAAGAAAATTATTTAATATTAACAATGACTAGCAAAATTTGATGAGACATTTGTGCACTTTATTTATTTGTTTGTTTATTATTTTTATTTAATTCCATTTTATTTGTTTTGCGTTGTATTGTTTAAAGAACATTATTGTTTTTGTAAATATTTACATTTAATGTACAAATATTATTTCATGATCTTAACAATGACGTGCAAAAGGATGAGAACATTTTTAAATAGTTTTTGCTTTAGTTTGTTTTTTGTTTTGTTTGAAGAACAATGTTATTTTGTAAATATTTCATTCTAATGTACAAAGATTCTTTAATAATAGGCCTATTATTAATGATTTTCACAATTTGATGAGGGATTTGTGCACTTTATTTATTTTTGTTTGAAGTTTTTTTATAAATATTTAATTTGAACGTATAAAGATGATTTAATATTAACAATGACTTGAAATTTTTTACATTTGTGTATTTGGGATCCTTAGTTGTTTTTGTTTGTTATAATTTTGATTTATTTCAATTTTGTTTGTTCCTTTCCATTTTTTTGTTTTGTTTTCGTTTCGTCTATAGATTTGTATTTGTTCAATTCCATTTTTGTTTTGTTTTGTTTTGTTTTGTTTTGTCCAGATTTTTATTTGTTCAATTCCATTTTTGTTTTGTTTTGTTTTGTTTTGTCCAGATTTTTATTTGTTCAATTCCATTTTTGTTTGGTTTCGTCCAGATGTTCTGATATTGTTAGCTTTACTTTTAAACACCTCAACATTGTCTCTGCACAGCCTCTTGCTCGCTTGCTTTGCTGGTCAATGTGGGCAAAACCTGACCCACAAACACCAGCAACTGAAAGAAGGTCAAACTGGGTATACCTCAGAGTCTGATCTGATCTGAATCTGAATCGTCACCTCTCTCCAGTTAAAGTGCGTTGATGTGTGCTCCTCTAAAAGGAGGGTCGGGGCTTTGTATTGTGCACTTTTCAAACAGCAAGACCTAATGCAGACTGACAGGCCAGTTAGCAGACGAGACCTGCGCTATGAGCCAGACATGAATAAAGCCCACAATGAGACTCCAACAAAGACAGAGGAGTATTACCGCCCACACACACACACACACACACACACACACACACAAGCACAAGAGCACTCAGAGAAAGTGAGCTCTCATTGATTATTTTGGCGAAGAAGACCCACAGTCATAAAACAGCTGTGATACAGTAAGTGTTGCCTATACACAGTATATGGGCTATCTTTAAACACAGCCATGTCTATTTTAGTGGATGTTGCCCACATATGAAAAAGAATAAAATATGATGTGCGTTATTTAAAAAAAAAAAAAACAGGAGCAATTTGCTTCAGAAAACAAGCCCATTGCTCATCTTATCCAGTACTTACTTTACGGAGTGTTCTGTAATTAGTTTGAAACATTAATGTAAAGTGTGACAGCTATTATTTGATTAAAACTATTGAGTTCTACAGTGCACATTACAAAAAAGTAGTAGACAGTCTAATGGAGGCAGGACAATACAAAAGGCCTACTTTAATTGTATTAATCCCAGAGGGGCAATTTAGCGCAGGCAAACGGAACACTGAAGCAGACACTGAGACACAGACGTGAAGACCTAAAAAGCATTTGGTAAATTAAAAGAGTACATCTTATATAACATGCAGTGTAATGTACACTGAGGTATTAATATGTAATATTCAATGCAATCTTGCACCCACGCTTCAGAATCTCGCCGGAAGTAGGTCGTCAAGTTACTTTTTGCCTAGTTTTATGAGTATGAATTCGGACATACTTCTTTTGTCACATATCGTTTTTAGGGAAGTATGCAATTTTGGATGCAGCCTAAACAATTTATGAGTGAGTCATTGAATGATTTGTTCAACCACTTTGTTCAAAACACAGAATTACTAAGGAACAAAATGCTACTGGTGTTGCAAATGTTCAGATGTCTCTTTGTTTGGGACTGTTTTCTGTGATAAAAACAGACGAAGCAGCTAGTAATATTTTATCTAAAATGTAAGCTATTCAGCATTAACTTATTTTTTTATCAAACTGTTGTATAAAAGTAATATCAAACAATTGTGCTGCCTTCGACTCCAGTAACTTCTTAGAAACAGCCCAAACCATCGCTGCTCATTCTAACGTGACGTTTTAAGTATTCAATCTACTATTTAAGTAAAGGAGACCAGCTGGCTTGGCTTTTTACATGTTTGACGCACACTCACCTAAAGGATTAATAGGAACACCTGTTCAATTTCTCATGAATGCAATTATCTAATCAACCAATCACATGGCAGTTGCTTCAATGCATTTAGGGGTGTGGTCCTGGTCAAGACAATCTCCTGAACTCCAAACTGAATGTCAGAATGGGAAAGAAAGGTGATTTAAGCAATTTTGAGCGTGGCATGGTTGTTGGTGCCAGACGGGCCGGTCTGAGTATTTCACAATCTGCTCAGTTACTGGGATTTTCACGCACAACCATTTCTAGGGTTTACAAAGAATGGTGTGAAAAGGGAAAAACATCCAGTATGCGGCAGTCCTGTGGGCGAAAATGCCTTGTTGATGCTAGAGGTCAGAGGAGAATGGGCCGACTGATTCAAGCTGGTAGAAGAGCAACTTTGACTGAAATAACCACTCGTTACAACCGAGGTATGCAGCAAAGCATTTGTGAAGCCACAACACGCACAACCTTGAGGCGGATGGGCTACAACAGCAGAAGACCCCACCAGGTACCACTCATCTCCACTACAAATAGGAAAAAGAGGCTACAATTTGCAAGAGCTCACCAAAATTGGACAGTTGAAGACTGGGAAAATGTTGCCTGGTCTGATGAGTCTCGATCTCTGTTGAGACATTCAGATGGTAGAGTCAGAATTTGGCGTAAACAGAATGAGAACATGGATCCATCATGCCTTGTTACCACTGTGCAGGCTGGTGGTGGTGGTGTAATGGTGTGGGGGATGTTTTCTTGGCACACTTTAGGGCCCTTAGTGCCAATTGGGCACCGTTTAAATGCCACGGCCTACCTGAGCATTGTTTCTGACCATGTCCATCCCTTTATGGCCACCATGTACCCATCCTCTGATGGTTACTTCCAGCAGGATAATGCACCATGTCACAAAGCTCGAATCATTTCAAATTGGTTTCTTGAACATGACAATGAGTTCACTGTACTAAAATGGCCCCCATAGTCACCAGATCTCAACCCAATAGAGCATCTTTGGGATGTGGTGGAACGGGAGCTTCGTGCCCTGGATGTGCATCCCACAAATCTCCATCAACTGCAAGATGCTATCCTATCAATATGGGCCAACATTTCTAAAGAATGCTTTTAGCACCTTGTTGAATCAATGCCACGTAGAATTAAGGCAGTTCTGAAGGCGAAAGGGGGTCAAACACAGTATTAGTATGGTGTTCCTAATAATCCTTTAGGTGAGTGTATACGTATAGGCTGTAAGTTGTCACAATGGGAACCATTTATGAAGCACCAAAAAAGGCATGATGCAACAAAAATGTGTAACGTACAAGTGTAAGAGTAACGTACAAAAAGTCAAACAATTGGTTTAAACAACAGGATATAGGCCTATTGTAAATAATGAATTTTATATTAGGCATATTACAAAATGAAATAGGCTATGTGTGTGAGCAATCTGACATTTATTAAACAAAGTTCAGCCTTTAGGTTATAATACCTTCATTAGTTGGATTTTGCCAAAATGTTTATACAACAGCTATTATAAAATATCATAGCCTACTGTAATTTTAGTTTGGAGATTAAAGTTATTGTTCGGCCATGGAATAAAAAATATAGCCTATATAATTGCGACTTTTTATCTCAGAATTCTGACTTTTTTTCCTTCAGAATTGTAAGATATAAAATTGGAATTGCTAAAAAAGAGTCAGAATTGTGAGATAAAGTCGCAAACGCGAGGAACAAAAAAGTCAGCATTGTGAGATATAAAGTGACAATTGCCTTTTTTATTTTCTATTCCATGGCAAAAACAAGCCTCCATAGAAACCAACATACAAAACCACTGCAAGAGAAATGCCATTTCTGTACTTTCAACGCCAAACCTTAAAGCTGCAAAGCCACTCCGCTCTCCCCTATATGTAAATCAATATATATATAAATCTTAAATATAAATGGTAGGCTACTTCAAATGATAAGGAAACCTGTTCAAATGTAGGAGGAGTGTTTCTCTCTCTCGCTAAATCTCTCAGAAGTGTTCCGGTTAATTCTCCATTGGGCGGCCCAACACGATGAATAGCGTGATTTCTCCATTGGGTGGCGCTGATCGGGCTCGCGCAGATGGAGGGATGAGTCTCATCATCACATGGTCCATCCATATGCCCGGAGAAAGTGAGCGATCATCGCAGTCTCTGCGCTCTCGAAACTCAATCAGAGAGTAGGCGGCAGTGTACAGCAGATGAACTGAGAGCAGAAGAGCAGCCATGATAGCGAGCCTGAGCCTGCAGCTGTGTGCGCTGGAGGAGAGCTGAGGAGTAAAAGTCTCTTCTCTTCTCCTCTTCTCTCTCTCTTCTCTTCTCTTCTCGCTGAGGATGGCAGGGATGCTGCGCGCCGCATCACTCTCTCCGGCTCTGTGAAACAAACGCACGGTAAGCGCGCTTCATCTTTCCCTCGCTGCCCCTGTCATATTACACGTCGAACTTTGAAGGGGGTTTTGTCCGGCGTTTGGACGCGTTTTAAGTGTTTGGCTTGGTGGGTTGTTGAGCAGAAGTTTACGAGACTCTTATTATGTTTGTCACTTTATATAACTAACGTTCTGTATAGCCTAGTTTGGGTTCAGTCACTAGACATTTGACAGACTGTATGAGCCTCGGTCAGTCTAAAACGCGATTAAGGCTGAGCTGAGTCTGCTTCTGGAGACTCGAGATCATTGAATGGAATTTCTGAGCTCATATCGATGTTCTTATTGATTCTGTATTTTCTTTAGAGAGGGGTGGGGAAGGGGAAGATACTGAGAGTAAATTAATACGGTAAAGATGGTTTAAAGTGTCCTCTTGAATGAGTGTTCGGGTGAAATTCTGCTCTTCTTTTGCTAATATAAACTACCAAAAAGTACCTTGGTAAAACCTATTTTGTGTAGATATGATGCCATGGTTCTATCAAGTTTTTTTGGTGGGACTACCATATGGACTACCATCATTATTGGATATGCCCTTTGATTTTTTGGGTGTACCATTTGTTTTCTGCGAATGTGTAGGCTACCATGGTTCTTCCATGTTTTTTTGGACATTTTTTGGGTATTTGCACGGTTTTATGTATATTTACCATGGTAATTTCATGTACTTTCATGTTCATGTAGGCCTTCACCCTTTAAAAAAAGTACTATGACGGCCTGGTACAGCGATGGTAATACTATAGTGCTTTGAAATATTTATATTAACTAATAATATTTGATATGGTACTCCAAGTAATTAGAATACAAAACATGTCCAAAATACCATAGTACCATCTACATATTCAAAACCCCTATTGGTACTATTCAGTTTTTTTAGGTATAATGTATTTTTGGACAAATATGATACTGAATATGGTCATCTTCTTGTAGAATGGGATACAGTATCTATATTAGTATCTGATGGCATGTCAAATGTTATGGTTTGATGTAGTTGAATTATTACAGTGTGTTTAGTTAATTGCTTTGCACCTGTGATGAAGTTGCTCTTTTCCTAGTGTCTTCATTCTGAGAGCGGAATTAATGGTGTGTGATCCCTAAGTGTTCAGTTATTCCAGACCCAGTGGGACAGACTTTATTTAAGCAAGAAAGTGACTTAACACCAAGAGCTTTTGCCCCCCCACCCCACCCCACCCCACCCCCCTCCCAGCGCACGCTGACCGAGAAACTGCAAGAGTCTGTCCAATACAGTGAATATGGATGAATGAAATCCTCTTACACTGCAGCTCAAACTCACTGTGTGTGAGTGTATGAGAGAGATATGCTCTCTACTGAGGGTTTACTGACTGATGAACTGTCTTTTGCACCTTATAGTGAAAATGAAAGCAGCAACATTTCGAGTCATCAGCAGAAAAAAATATTTGTGTCTGATAAAGTAATAAAGACACATTTGTTGTCTATTGTTGTTATTGGTTGAAAAAAAAAGTTTGTCTAAAGCGCTAGGAGAGAAATCAACCGTTCACATCCACAGTTTGGGCAGTTCATGAAGTCTTTTAATTGAAAATCATGTACCCACTGTTATCATGTACCCACCCTCATGTCACTCAAAACAAAGATTTATTATCAAAATGTCAAACCTGATGGCTTTCAAGTTCACCTGCGCTTTTGCATTATTAAAGAAATAATAATTTCTCATTGTAATACTAAGTAATATAATTAAATATTCATATATTTAACATGATTCAATATTATTATATTTATTACTATTATTATTGATATTTCACAAGATTAATTTTTTAAATTGCAGTTGAACAGATTATTGATTAATATTAATTAATATGACTGATTATTATTATTATATCAGGTCAGGATTTTAACCCAGGCTACCTTGCTCTCCGATCAAAAATTAGAGTAAAAAGCTGTACGTTATAAACACTTCTTCCCCTTTTGTTTATGTTTTTGCCGTGCATAGGGCACCATGTGAACCAGCACTGCCACTCGCACATCCTCCAAAAAAAATTAAAAATAATATAAATGTGAAAAAGGTGCGTAAAAGCCCCTATACAAATCCAGACCCCTCTTTCGCACATATGCCCACATGTAAAATAAACCGCAAACACTATCAAGACATTCAAAATGGCCCTTTAAGGCCCACCAGCAGTTTTCTTCTGTTCTGTTGCTTGACTCTTTATATATTAAACATGCCACATCCTTACAGACAGGCTACAGTGCATGGCTGCATTTTTAACCACATGACCAACCTCGTCTGTGTTGTGTGACGTGACAGACCGCTGTCATGCTGTCTTGCAGGATGCAAAACCTGCTCTCTCTGGGTTAAACTAAAGGTGCACGAATGGGTCAGTTTGTACTCGCGTTCTGTGTAGGCGCTGTGGGTTTAATATGCACGCCGTGCACTCTTGCCACTGCTGATGTCAAAGTAGATTCAGGATCAAGTAACACTCGTAAGCTTCTGTATCTTAAGAGAGATATGAGCTGAAGTAAGTGAGAGAGAGAGAGAGAGACAGGGAGGGTAAAATGAACAGTCCCTATGGATTGGAGTGGAATATGTGTGACGGTGGGTGGAGGGAGGGTTTAGGGCACCAGACGCACTGAAAATCCCTTAATAATTAACACTACGCATTGCAAGAGGAGGGGCACAAACGAATGGAAACCCGCTGTGTACGTGACAGTTACGCAGGGTGGTCAACATGTTATCTGGAACGGATGAACTGTACTGAGAAGTGTTGGGGATCTCCCAAAATGAATGAAACATGAAGCTCTTCTTTAAGGTTCTTCAGTGTGTCACCTTAAAGGGATAGTTCGCCAAAAAATGAAAACCTCATGTCGTTCCAAACCTGTATGACAACATGAATTTGTTTGGTTATGGACAATCTTCAACATCTCTTATTTTTGTTCCACAGAACAGGTTTTTTGGGTGAACTTAACTATTCCTTGAACTAACCCTTATCTAAGACTTAACCCTTATTAACTACACTGTTGAGCTTGAGGGGTGTTGTTACGAAGGACCTTCAACATCTGAAGGCTCCTTGTAGTGTAAAAATATTCAGAACCAAAAACCGTACTTTTAAAGAATATGTAAGCTGAAACAACACTGAGACAGTTTTCTTTCATAGAGGTTTGAGTCAACATTGCATGAGGGGCAGTCACTGTTATTTTAGTACCATTGAGATACTATTATAGTTTTTTTTTTTTTTTGAATTAGTTTTTTACTCTTGTACTTTCCGTTTTCATTTTAAATTTAGATTACATTTTTGTCATTTTTATTTTGTTATAGGTTTTTTTTTTTATATGTCTGTAGTTTTTATTAATTATTTCAGTTTGTATTTAAGATATTTTAGTACATCATGTCAAATGAAATGAAAATGTGAAATGTTGCTTTGGCAACTAGCTGAAATATATATATATATATTTTTTTTTAAATGTTTTTATTTCAGCTAATGTTTATTTAACAATATTTCTTTTTTCGGTTTTGGTTTTATTGATAACCCTGGGGTGAATAAATGATGTCATATTTTTAAACACTCTAAAAATAATTCAGGAGACCATAACCATAACTTAAATAAATGCATGGTTGCAATTTATTTATTTAAATAAACCTTTTAAGTTACAAACATTTTGTTGAGCGCCGTTGACATAATAATGTTGATCATTACATTATCTTAATATTGTGTGTAATTTAAACTCAAATTTCTGCATTAATTGAATTCTTTAAAAATTAAGTTGCAGTAACTTAATGAAATTGTCTTGATAACTTTGGAAACTGGGAATATAGGACTGGACCAGGAGAATAAATGTTGAAATTAAGTGTTATTTTATGTGCTTTTCAGTGAAGGGAAAAACCTGCTAGTGTTTATTGCTGTTATGTTTGACATATAAAAGCGTTTCTGTCTAAGGCGGTTATGCTATTAATAATTTAAAACCACATTAAAGCCCTTTTATGCTGAAATAGTTCTTTGTGTTTGGGTTTATGCTCAACATTAAATCAAAATTGACCATATTTACCTTCATGCACGCTTCTGGTTTTATTGGGAATAACTCATTATGCCATCGCTTGTCTTCATGAATGTAGACCTGGAAGTAAATGTGTTGAATGATGACAATTTACTCTAAAAAGCAGGTTTCTAATCAGCACCAAAAAAAGGCTTCCACAAGCCAAAGAACCCTTATTTGCTGCCATTTAGAATCCATTTTTCATAAGAGTCCATTGGTTTCTGGGTTTTTAGAGCACCAGTACACAGATGGTTTTCTTTCTGAAACTTTTTGAAAAACTTCTCCTGTGGTGTCAGGCTGCAAAACCCTTTCTGAACCTTTACTTTTAAGAGTGCAACCATGTTATTATTCACACCTGAACAGGAGAATGACCTGCGTGCGTTTGGTTCACAGACATCATCTTCTGTCTGAGAGGCGATGACCCGAGGAACAGCCCTCTCATTTCTCTCTTTCCACCGTGGATGACAGAAAGTGAGATTCATGTTGCTATTCCTCTCATCCAGGCAGACAGGAACCCCCTCTCTCTCTATTTCTCATCACTGGCTATCATATGGGCAGGAAATAGGAGTGGGCTGCACCAAACTCAATAGGCATTTAAGCACTTAGGAGTATTTCGGGGCCTGTTGTGATACGCATTAGACTTAACAGGCTTCATCCATAACACTACACAATATTGATTCATTTCCTCTGGGCGAAGGGCATAATAGCCTTTATCTATTTTCACTCCTTATCACCCTTGTTGCCTAATCACTTTGACTGTTCGCTGCCATTAAAGTGCTTAAAATGCCAACCCCATAATCTCCGAAGGGTAGCAAAAATCTGTCAATAACGGGATAAAGCATTCGTGTCAATAGAATGGCGTGAATTTGACATTGGTGTGATGTAACCGCGAAATGGACATTTCGTGGAAGAGGTCAACGCAGCCACCGGTTTGCGATAAGCATTGATAGTTCCTACTACTGAAGT